TTGAATTATTTTCTTAATAATCCTTTATAATATTTATGAGTATTTTTAAATTTGCAATAAATATATATGGTCCAATTCCTTTTATAGGTTTTTTTGTTGAAGACTTCATTTTAGGAGATCTTATTACTCATTTTGTAGGTCCATAAAATCTCTGTGTCTCCTTTTGGTGTAAAACGTTTTGATTTGAGTATAATAATTTCTCTTTTTTAATTGAAAAAGAAAAGAAAAGAAGAGGATATGATGACATCAATGAGAACTAAAAAGTTTGAAAGAGATAAATATGGGAACTTGACTTCTCATCTCGAAAAGAAAAGAACTTTGATAAGTTCATAAATATACTCATTTATGTACTCTTTTTACTTAGGTTTTGTAGGAGAATTAAATTTAAAAGGGGCTTATTACTTTACTTTTCTGATTTTCAGCTTTTCTGCGCTCCTAGAAGGTTTTTAAGGGAAAATCAACTTTTTGGAGGAATTTTAGCACGAGGCCAATTGGAGATGAAAGCTAACATCTTGAAGTTCAATCTGTGATTTTTGTAGAATTTTCTACCAAGCCAATTGGTACAGTATTACAAGTAAAGTTAGCCCACGTGCAGACAGACAGTTTCATACATGTTAAGTGAATATGAAAAAACGGAAGCCTTCCCGAATTTTTCAAGTTACGCTATAATGGTTGGAAAGATAAGGCATTTATCTTTCTAAAATATATTTTTAATGATTTTTCTAGAAGGCTGAAGATCCCCAAATCGTGTGACAATTAGGCTAAGCTGTATTTCCCTATGGAGTTAAGAATTGTGATTTTTACTTTCCTATTTGGATTCCTTGTTTACGAAGACTTCTTGGACGACTTTTCAGTCAATCTTAGGGTTTAGAACTCTGATATAAGTGATATAAAAAGCCAGCCAAGGCCCCCATACAAAGGATTCACGTCCTAAGGAGATCAATCGTGTAAGAGGAGAAAGTTGCCAACGAGTTCTTTCTTTTTCTTCCTTCTTTTACTTTTCAATTCTTATGCGTTTATTTTTGAGACCATCCAAGAACATGAGCTAATTTCTTGTTAGTTAGGGCTTAATCTTGAAGCCCTAAACATGATTTCAATTCTATAAACAAGTTTGAATGGATTTTTATTTTCTACAAGCGTGATGATTTCGGTTTCTTTATGTTATGTGAATTCTGATATTTTGTTTCTTTGAGTAGCTAACTTTGAAGCATGTATTGGAATTAAATTGTTGTAGAACGTAGGTCAATTGCCATATTGAATGTGTTCTTGTTTCCAACGAATAATTGGGTTAAGAACTAATTATGAGAAATCGATTCTTGAATTCCTAATAACAAATGCCATGTTTTAGGGTTTTTATGACACTCATATTCTCTTTGATCTTAATGAATTCTTGATTGTTAATTTGAGTAAATGCCATACTAGATTTCAATTAAGAATACATGTATTGATGTAAATGCCATACACTTAAGAGAGAATCATACAACTCAAGTCAAATGTCATGATCTTGTTGTGAGTGTCGTCATCATATGCTTGCTAGAAATTGATTATCTACTGTTGTTTATGGATTGATTGATTGTTTGGAGGTGGATAGTGAGTCCTAACTATTGTTCTTGACTGATTTTAAACAAATTTCTCTTAAACTCTAATTTAAATTCTGTTTTGTTTTGTTTTCCTTGTTTTGTTTTATTCACAAAATCAAATCAAAACACCACTTGTTGTTGGTGTGTGTGTGGAAGTACTTGTGTTTTAATTTTTATTGCGTGACATTGATAAACATCTCTTTAGATCACAATCTCTGTGGGATCGACCCTTGCTTGCTTACTTTACTATCATTTGATTTGTGCACTTGCAAGGTTTTAATATTGTTGTTAAAAATTACCAACAAACTTGCATACACGAAGTGTATTTTTTTATTTTTTATTTAGTCAACTTGAATTTCATTAGATAAAGAAATTATGGCAGAAAGTCCAATGAAAAAGGATCAAAAACACAATCCCTTTGCAAGGAGCCTATAATAGACAAGATCCAACAAAAAAATAAAAAACAAAAGCTCCTATAAAGAGTGCTATAATAGATCTCGAGCCTCTGCATTGAGCATCCGTGTATTTACACGCATTTAAAAGAATATCTAATGGTTAATATTCTTTTATGCACGTAAATGCATAAATGTTCCTTGCAAATGCGTGTAAATGCATGAATGCTAAAAGAAGAGGCTCGGGATCTGATCTATGGATAAAATATACATGGTATCAAAGCGGATTGATTGGGCCTGAATTGGGCCTTTACTCTTACCTAATATATGGTGTTCACATGTTGGATTTAAATGTTTACTTCTACCCTTTACCCAATACGCGGTGTTCATGTGTTGAGTTTGAATAAGTGACTTCGATGTGGACTTGACTCCACGCGTGGCCCATTATGTGATGGTCCCACATAAGGGGGCATGTTGAAGAATATAAGTCCCACATCGAAAACTTGACTAAATAAAATAAAATATATAATAAATGGTTCCACCACTAATATCACCAAGGCCTTTTGTGTTAAAACCCCACACTTATTGGGCTTATAGGTGGTTAAGTTTGGGACAATATTAGTGTTGTTAGTAGTGGGTCATTGACCCATCTCTCTGAAATTTAAGAAACGCAAGTGTTTGCTGTAAATAAGAGGGAGGCTCAATAAATTTTAAAAGAAAATTAATCTACTAATATTGAAGCTTTATGTATACTCATGAGCTTTTACTTTTTATTGATTAAACGGGTCATGGCTTGGGATAATTGTTTGCAGTATTGAAGAAATGGGGGTGAACGTGAACCCGGAAGAAAAGAAAGCTTTGGATAATGGGCTTTTGAATGGGGCATGAAAGGTTTTGATTTAACACGAGCTATAAACTATTTAGCAGACGACACGGGAGTAATTTTCAGTGGAGGAGTTGTAACCTGTAATGTGGCCTCACATCACAGCTCTCTAATGCTATTTAAACAAAAAGTAATCTTCGTACAAAAAATATAAAAATCAAAAACAAAAAGTAATCTAATTCTAAATATATAATGTTCTCAAGCTTCTAACTTCCATCTCCATTTGGCAATGGCAGACCCAACAAGCTTAGTTAAAGTAGTTGAAGTTTGCAAGGTGGCTCTTCCTCCTCCACCCTCACCTAGGTCATTCGCATCCCCAAGTTCCTTTCCTCTTACCGTCTTCGACATCCGTTGGTTAAGGTTTGCGCCGGTCCAGTGCCTTTATTTCTACGAAATGCCTACTTCCTCTGCAACACAACTCTTCTTTGATACTGTACTGGCCCCAAAACTCAAAACCTCACTCTTTAACACCCTCCAAGACTATCTACCTCTAGCAGGACACCTTGACTTGGCCTCAAAACTCCCAAAAACCCGTTCTTAGCTATGTCCAAGGCGACACCTTTTCGCTCACAATAGCAGAGTCTGGTGTTGACTTCTACCAGCTTTCAGGTGATGGCTTTATTGAAGCCACAGAGTACCATCCTCTTGTACCCTAGTTGGAACCGTCTCATGAACAATCTGCAGTGATGGCATTGTAGATCACTGTCTTTTCCAACTGTGGCCTTTCGATTGGGACCTCCATGCACCGCGCAATATCCTATACGGCAAGACTTCAACGTTGTTTGCGAAATCTTGGGCTCACATTTGCAAACATGGTGATCAATCTAATTCAGTGCTACTTGATCATTTGAAACACTTTTACGATATAAGAGTTATTTAGGATCCAGCTGAGCTGAGAGCAATCTACTCGAACCTGTATCAAAATAAGGACGGTCCCAATAATAGAAGCTTAATGTTTTGGGAGAGGAAAGCCCCACCAGGTTCCATCAGAGGCACCTTTCAAATCACAGCAGCAGATATAGAAACATTGAGGCAATTGTTGAAGGCTAAATTGGCAGAGCAGAAACAACAAGATATTCGTTTAGTTCATGTGCCTATACATGGGTTTGCATAGAATTGGGTTTTGGATGGGGCAGAGAATTGGGTTTCAAGAGGGTTAGGTGTGAGCAGTGAGAAAATGCTTGTGCTTGCCGGTTCACATCGGTTTGGGGTTTATGAGTCTGATTTTGGACGGGGAAGACCAAAGAAGGTTGAGATTGTTTCCATAGATAGAGCCAGAGCTATCTCCTTTTCAGATCCCCAAACTGATGCTGGGGTTGTTGATGTTGGTTTGGTCTTAGACAAACATAACATGCAGGTTTCTGCTTCTCTATTTGCTAAAGGTCTTCAAAACCCTTGACGCTTGAAGCCTTCTCACTATACTAGTATACTTGGTTTCAACAGCATTTTCTTTTTCCACTTTATATTTTGGGGAATAATAATGTCTGAGTTCATTGATCCATAGGAAACTAAACCTTGTATGCTCTAAATAATTTACTTTGTGAACATGTTCTTCCATGGACCATGTAACTCTGTTTTTTTTTTTTTCTCCTCTGTGCTGCATCTAGTATTTGAATCACAATTATCTAGTTTGTTTTCAAGGATTCTGTTGTTAAATGCTGGCATGCCAGATTAAAGACACAAGATTTGGTGATCCAACTAAAGACATTTTGTTACCGCAAGGTGTTGACTTGGGAGGCTATTGTGCCACATTTTGTTAATTATGAGGTTAATAATCCAACTAAAGACATTTGATGTTTAATTATTATTGATGCTGGCAAAATGGGTGATCGCTATACCCAACTTAGACGTGTGATGTCTTCGGTCTTGTGGGACCTAGTGGTGTGTACCAGTCGAAGCACACAGTGAGTAATGAATTGGAATTTCATAAGACTGCAGCACAGCCTATGACATCCTTTTTTGTAAATTTTTAGAATCTTTTTTTGTTAGACCTGCATTGGGAGAAATTCTCTCTGAAATTCATAACAGCGACATTTGTTCAAACTTATCCGGCGCAGCATAAATTAAATGACATGAGAAATTATAGAATACTTAACCACTTGGCCGTTTAAAATAAGAATTAAGGAGCATTCATTAGGTCTGTTCATCAATTATATTAAACCCTTCATTCAACTTTGCTTCCATGATCCATCCCCAATGGCAGACCTAAACTCAGTCAGAGTGGTTGAGGTTTGCAAGGTTGCTCCACAGCCAAGCTCACCAGAAGATCACTCAGCCACACCTGACGCCCTTCCTCTAACCTTGTTTGATATACTCTGGCTCAGATTTGCACCCGTCCAACGCCTTTTCTTCTATCAAATTTCAAACTCCTTCGAAACCACCACACTCGTTTCAAAACTCGAAGCCTCGCTCTCCATCGCCCTCCAACACTTCCGACCTCTAGCAGGAAACATCACTTGGCCCCAGCACTCCCCCAAACCAGTTCTCACTTATGTCCAAGGGGACGCCGTTTCGCTCACCATTGCTGAGTCTCATGCTGATTTCCATCATCTTTCAAGTCGTAGCAACTTTGTTGAGGCCAAAGAGTACCATCCTCTCGTACCCCAATTGCCAATATCTCACGAAAAGGCCGCAGCCGTGGCGTTCCAAGTCACCGTCTTCCCCAACGGCAACGGCTTCTCCATTGGAACATCCATGCACCATGCCATCCTAGACGGCAAGTCTTCAACCATGTTTGTGAAATCATGGGCTCACATTTGCAAACATCTTGGTGATGATCCATCTGGTTCAGCTCTACCAGATCAGCTGAAACCAATTTTTGACAGAAGGGTGGTCCAAGACCCGGCCGGGCTCGAACCAATCTTCTTGAACCAACTTCAGAATCTGGACGGACCCAACAACAGGAGCTTGATGGTTACCCAGTTTAAATCTCCACCATCAGACGCTGTTCGCGGCATCTTTGTAATCACACGACCCGAAATAGAAGCAATGAAGCAATGGGTTTCGACCAAAATGGCAGAGACGATCAAGAATGAAAAACAATCTGATCGTCCTCATTTGTCAACATTTTCTATAACATATGCTTACACATGTGTTTGCTTAGCCAAGGCAGAGGAAAAGCAGAGCGATAAGCCAGTTTTGATGGCCTTCACTCTGGACTGCAGGTCTCGCCTTGACCCTCCCCTACCTGCAAACTACTTTGGGAACTGCATAGCGGGCCGTTCAGTAGTTGCAGATAGAAAAGGGCTTCTAGGAGAAGATGGGTTGACCGTGGCGGTCAACGAGATCAGTGAAGCTATAAAAAGTGTGGACAGCGATGGGATTTTGAATGGGGCAGAGACTTGGGTTCAAATACTTTACCCTGCTGTGAGCAGTGAAGAGAGATTTATGGGTGTTGCTGGTTCACCAAGGTTTGGGATTTATGATACAGATTTTGGATGGGGAAGGCCAAGCAAGGTGGAGGTGGTTTCGATCGAAGAGACAGGAGCCATGTCCCTGGCAGAGTCTAGGGATGGTATTGCTGGAGATGTTGAGGTTGGTTTGGTTTTGGAAAAACATCATATGCAAGCTTTTGCTTCTGTGTTTGCTAAAGGGCTTCAAGACCTTTGAATCCACGCATGAAATTGGTGTTAATTTGTTTCAGAGTTTTAATGTTTTCGCTTTGTTTTTGGGGGATGAATAATTTGACCAATGTTATTATTATTATTATTTTTTGTTGTTGTTGTTATTTTGGTATGTTTGTTTGCAATGGTCCTCTGTTTCTCTCATTTACAAAAGGAAGAGCCAAGTTTTATTACAAACAAATGTCGCAAGCATTGTTCAGGTTTTTATTATTTTGAACAGAAGAAGTGATTCTCATGCCTTGTGATAATTGTTTGTAGTATTGAAGAGATGGAGGAGAAACCGGAACGAAAGGAAGAGAGAGAAGATGGGCTGCCATGAAAACTTTGGATAACACTTGAGATTCAAGTAGCAACCAACTATAAATAATTAACTATTTAGCAGATGAGGACGGGAATCATTTTCAGTGGAGGAGTTGGTAGCATGTCGCGTGCGTGACCGCTCTGTATTGCTATTTAAACAATCTTGATTTAAATACGAAGTCGCTTTCGGCAGCTTTACTTTATATTTGGTTGATTGCCAGATAAAGTGCAAGGGAAATTGGCACCGCCACGTGGGGTACAAAGGCTAGCAAAGATGGCTGGTCTTCTGACTTGTTCGGATGCCTCCACCCGTTGTCTATTTTTTTAACACAAAAGAATTTAGACCACTATTGATTGATAGTTAACCATGCTCGGACGATGATTCTTTTGCACTAAAATGTCTAATGGCGGAAGCTGGACATGTGATGAAACGACCCGACCCAATTTTCACTTTGAAATCCGGGCCGAATCCCGTTTTAAATTGACACCTGGTATCTGTGGATAGTAAAAGACGAAAAAAATACCCTGCAAATAATAACATAAACCCTGAGCCCCTAACTCGTGGCTGCGCCTAATAACTGTAGGCTGCCTACGTACCCTTTCTGAGGGATCAAGCCACACGTAGTTCTTTCCTCTGTTCTTGACCTGCAACTAGTTCGTTATTTTGTAACTGGTTTAAATATCCGTAAAACATACTCTAGGGCTGACATTTCTGGAGTATCCGGGACTCCGTTTTACGATCCGTCAAATACTATACGATCTTGGAAATACCTAGATCAACATACTTGAAATTGACTATGATCCAACGGTTCAAACGTATAGAACCCGGAAATCGCATACTAGGCGAGATCCGTTCGGGGTTCAAACGTTATCCGAATTAAGATCCGCGAAATCCTATGCGCTCGTGAGGACTAGGAGATCACTCTAGAACTGACTGTGGTCCCCACCCTGCTGCCCACGCGCCGCCACACGCGCTGGCAGCGCGTGGTG